TTGTATATATGATAATATATAATATTTGATATGATATATGAATATACACTTTCCCCCTTTGCCTGATCCATGTCTGATGTCTAAGTATTAAATTACTTTGTAGCTAATAGGTTGCTTTATCAGCACGTTTAATGCATATTGATAGCTTTGCGTTTCTGGGAATAAGAACGAGACTTTTCCAAATACATTTTATGTACATATATGGCTGTACATGCTGAGCAGTTGACACAAAACTGTCGCAGCGCCAATTTGAGCGGCAGCTAAACGTGTTTATGCGGCACTGCGGAGGGCTTATAAAATGCAACTTTGACACAAATGCGACGCTAATCAGCGAGACAACACCCACGCAGCCTGTAGTAATGCCACCAAGGCAGCGAGCTTGTCACTGGGCCATAAAATATGCAACAAAACGTACAAAAAATGCCACTAACAAGCGGCATGAGGCAGGGATAGAGCCAGAGACTGAAAGAGAGAGAGAGAGAGAGAGAGAGAGAGAGTGAGTAGAGGGAGCTGCATGTAAAATAATTTGAAAACACGGCATTTGCGTAATGAAGCATGTGAAAAGCGCCAGGCGAAGCTGCTGAGAACTGGTGAAAAGCGCTCATAAATGCCAGAAGTTATGCAAGTCCTTAACTTTTATAAGCAGCGGAGTCTGAGGTGCGGTGCCCGCCTGCAAATAGACTACGACTTCAGGTGCAAGTGGCGTATCACACATGTTTGCCGAGCGGAGTGAGCGGAGTGCAGCGCGTGAGTTTCGCCGTTCTGCAGTGGCTGCGGTTCAGCTGACACAAATGTGCGAATTCTCCCACCAACTTTACATAGAAGAAGGAGTGCATCTAGTCGAGGCTGCTCGACTACGAATACCACTCGACTCTCTTGGCTCGAGGAGCTGATAATCCACTCAGCGCTCTCTTATGCATTTATCACAAATAACTTGAGAACAGATTAAGCAGAAAAATTACAAAATCATTATATGGATCTACAGTAAATTAAGAAAAAAAAAAAAAACATGTGTATATAAAGTAAAAGTTATGATCCTCCTGCCTTTAGTTTACACGTTTAACATTTTCAGAAATACTTTAAGCCTCTAGCTTTTGTGACATATCTGTGCTATATCTACTATTTCGACTCAGCTCATCGCACTGATCAAGCATATATCTACATTATGAGATCTGCCACGCCCCCTGCTGCCTGTTATACGAATTTGCAGCCAACCATTATACCCTGATTTCCCATTATCAGTGGGTTCAGGGTATAAAACGCCGAGAAAACGTTAAAAATTGTCACTTGCGGTGGCGGGCGAAGGGCGACGGGCGAGGCGCTTGTCGTCTGAGCCAAAGACTGGCATTCGCATTCAGTGCGTAATCTTCACCTTTTTCACAGCTTTGCCATGCACTTTTATTGCATGCTTGCAAGGCGACTTCCCCGCAACACTTGCCGCTTGTATCGACAAAAGTTGTGCCTTGAATTTGCCACTTTATGCCACGTAGCTAGCACCAAATCCGAAAACCCAGGCAGCTCACCTGCCTGCCGCTGTACGATGGCTCAAATGCAGAAATTCTAAGCTGAGAAATCAATGCTAAACAGCATTGAAAAGTATTACCAATGAGTAAAGGTAGAACAGTTTAATATCACTCAAAGTGAATATATAATGAATAAATAATGAATATATAATGAAAATATGATTATATAATGAATATGAGTAACAGAAGACCTCAGTTGGTTCTTAAAGTTCTCTGAATTATTTTGACGAAAAATCTGTTAAATTTAAAGCGTGCAATAATTTTGACTCATACAATCCAAAAATTGCCCATGGTAGCTGGCAGCTGCAGCCCGCTAAGTAGTTGTAAGCTGCATAATGTATTTACGCAAGCACCGGAAATTGGGTGCTGCGGAGAGTGGAAGCAGGAGGAGCAGGAGGTAGCTAGCATTTGCCTCCAGTTGGCAGCAGCAGTAGGAGCAGAGACTCAGCTCGTCAGGTTGCAGCCACTGTGCTAAACGCGAATAGACAAGTGTGATCCCATGCGGATGTGGATGCGGGTTGCGGAATGCGGAATGCGGATTGAGGGGCTATGAGATGTGAGATGTGCTGGATGCTTGCTGTTAGATGCATATGCGGACTGTGGATACGGGCTGCTGTTGCTTGGTTTATGCGCGCATATTTGATGGCATTGTGAATTTCTGTGCAGAATTATAGCTCTTAGCCCACAGAGCGCTCTCAACTCAGCTTGAGCATTCATTAATATGCAATGCTTAAGTGGGGTGAGGAGCTGAGCCACGCGAGGCTCACAGCTGCTGGAGTACGTATTTGCCAACCTCGGCTTATGGTTGACCAATGGAACAGAAAAACCCCTAACCCCTCCTTTGAGGGCTATTGCAAAGATTCCTTAGCTGGATTTGCCAATGAATGTGTGGGCTATTAAAATCGACTTAAATACGTGGATGATTTAATTAGATTAAGCTTTTTTCTTCAATCAAGAAATCAAGTTTTTCTGCTTGCTAGACATTCTATAGCTGGGGCCAACAATAATGCCAAACAACCCTGGTGGAGATGAGCAAATCGATAGCAAACGACAAAATTTGTGCGGAGGCAATTAGAATGCTCTGATTGATGGCATATGTATGATGATATATATATAATTGATAACATATGTATAAGTCAGATATTTCTGCAGATTAGATAATTTTGAGGAGTGCAGCGTGTCTCTGCACTGTTGCCCTTCTTCTTCTTGCTTATCAACTGCCTGCTTTTCCTATTCGAGCACTCGATATTACTGTTAACAAACATTGCTTTCAATCAATATCATCCAACACTATGCATCGATAAGATATCTATTCGAATAATACTATCATCTCCCACATACATGCATATAAATTTATTATTATTAGCTCATAGTAGAATACTTTGCAAAACAATAATTATGATTGCTAAGCTCAACAATTCGGAAGGTTCCACATGACGAACGAATAGTTTTAAGAAAAGCATGAACATCATATCCGAACACCAGTTTTGGTACGGAAAAGGGGAACCTACGCTTGAGCAATGCCATCACTCATGCAATTGTTATTATGCAAGCGTATTCAAGAATCCCTAGATTTAAAACCGGCCTTTGGTAAAAAACAGGAGCCTGTAGACGACATTCTGCATGACTATAAAATCGTATCTGGAAAGCATAATACTGCTGGAGACCTTTTGGCGAGTATATTGCGTTCACTTCTGCACACTGCTTTTACGGCCGACAAGCCCTCTACAGCCCCATTTTACACACAATAGCAACAACTCGTCCAACCTGCAGCAAGCAGAGCTTTGTCTATTTGAAGGCGAACACACAAAAGTCAGTGCATGTTATATTCTCTCTCAAACCTGGACATTATCACTCAATGGCTCGATCTGGGCTTGCGAAATAGTATGCGAGAGTATGGATTGAGTTCACTGCAAATCCAACCATTCAGTTAATTATTGCCATTTATTATGGTCTGTCAATTGGCTTATTGTTTAAAATAACCCATATTACAAATAAAATATAAAATTAAAAAATAAAAATAAAATTTTATTTTGCTGGTATTTATTATTTCAATATATTTATTTTATTTATTTTTTTTTTTTTTTTGCATATATGTATATATGTTTGAATTTATATGAGATTAATATATGCAAATAATAATCTATAATTTAACTCTTGCATTAAAGAATCAAGAATCAACAAAGAAGCGTCCCAGGCATGCTGAGCAACCCTTTGCATAGGTATACTCATATTGATATACATATGTATACATACATATATATCTCTCTGAGTGTATTATTTCATATTACACTGAGCTAAACATTGCATATACAAAGTTTAATGTGTGTTACTTTTCAGTTATTGCAGAGCATTTAGTTTTCAAACGCAGACGTCGAGCTAAGCAAACGCTTGACACTCTACCTCTGCATATATGGCTAGCCCTCTCTCTACTTTAATTTGCCCTGGAAATTTCGCGGTTCTATGCAAATTAACTTAACTTGTCAACGTTGAAACAAAATTTCATTTTTTTTTGTTTTTTTGTTTTTTGTTTGACTACAAACGCAGAATTCAGAGCTAACGAAATGTCAAAAAGGGGAATTCCAAACCAGCATTCAAATGACTGAAAAATTGTGCAGCAAAATGAAGCAAGCGAGGCAACGGCTAAATGGGGCAGAGTATTTGGAGAACAGAGAGAGAGAGAGAGAGAAAAAAATAGTCAGAGACAAACTGCAAACGTCGAGCAAATTTCATCTCTAGCTTTGTCTCTGTCTCTCTTTTTTTTAACTCTACATTGACTGAAACTCGGTGACAATGATGTTAACTAGAGTGTGAAAACTATGATTGGCTGTCGAGAGATACGTGCAGAAGGGGTAAGGGGCGCTTGAATTGTTGGATAACGGCAGCAGCCGAGTGGCGGCTGAAGAGAGAGGCTGTCCTTGTCGCTGTCAGCAGGAGTAGCAGCGGGTGCCAACGCCAGCAAAGTGCTCTATGATTTATACCGTATTTGCAGGCAGTTGTTGGGATGACATTCTCTTTACTTTAGCGACACAGGCTCTCTCACACACTCACACACGCACACACTCGCACACACTAGTGAACTTGTTGTTGCATCATGTTTCACATACGCTTTCAATTTGGCATCGCTATGCGCCTATTGGCAGTGAAAAACTGTGCCAAAACGAAGGCAATTATTTTTAAATGCCGACTAATTAGTCAGGCAGGTCAACCATAAAATCCTTCGCTGATTTCTCTGCTAACTACAAATTTCAACTGAACGGAGGACAAAGCGCAAATTTCTTGCTAAATATAGATCAATGAGTGCATTCGACTGATTAATGTCGATTGCGCAACAGACTTAGACAGAAGAGCAGAGCTTGCTTTATGCAACAAACTATTCAAGTCGCAAAATTGTCATCTTAAAAATATGAAATATATAATATTGTATTATATAACAAATATTACTTTGCGCAAAATAAATGTGAAATAAGTTGTAAATTACGTTTTTGTAAATGCTGCTTTATTACATTTCTTTGCTGGAAGAGGAAGACATCAAATTGAATTCAGAAGTGATTTACATACAGAGTAGAGAGTAGAGTGAAGAGAGAGAGAGCGAAGAGAGTTGTCGTTTAGTCATATGGAATAGGTCCGGGTACAGTCGCAGTATGGGGTTCAAGTATCCAAATTATCATCGTTTAGTTGCGCCTAGCTGCACAGTTGGTAACCTCAAGGCGGCTGCGGCAGATCTTCAGCTCACGGTCGAACCATTGGCCGAAGGGGCAGGTCTGGTGTCTGGCTCTGTTGTTCCGGCACACATAGAAGCGGCGGCAGTGTCTGGCATTTGTGAACAGAGTTCCATCCTCGTGGCCCTGGCAGTCGCGCAGTGAGACCAGTTCCTCAGCTGGATTGATTACGACTGCTGCAATTTGCCTTGTTGCATCAGGGGCAATCGTTGTTGTGCAGGGTGGCTCGGTTGTGGTACAGGGTGGCTCGGTTGTGGTACAGGGTGGTTCGGTTGTTGTGCAGGGAGGTTTGGTTGTTGTGCAGGGTGGTTCGGTTGTTGTGCAGGGTGGTTCGGTTGTTGTGCAGGGCGGTTCTGTTGTTGTGCAAGGTGGCTGGGTTGTCGTCGAAGTTGTTGTTGTTTTAGTTGTAGTTGTTTTAGTAGTTGTTGTCTTAGTTGTCGTTGTTTTAGTAGTTGTTGTCTTAGTTGTCGTTGTTGCTTCAGTTGCTGTGCAAGGGGGCTTAGTAGTCTCGCATGGCTCTTCAGTTGTCGTGGTCGTTGTTGTCTTCGTTGTTGTTGTTTTAGTCGTTGTTGTTTTAGTAGTTGTTGTCTTAGTTGTCGTTGTTTTAGTAGTTGTTGTCTTAGTTGTCGTTGTTGCTTCAGTTGCTGTGCAAGGGGGCTTAGTGGTCTCGCATGGCTCTTCAGTTGTCGTCGTCGTTGTTGTCTTCGTTGTTGTTGTTTTAGTCGTTGTTGTTGTTTTAGTCGTTGTTGTTTTAGTAGTTGTTGTCTTAGTTGTCGTTGTTTTAGTTGTCGTTGTTGCTTCAGTGGCTGTGCAAGGGGGCTTAGTGGTCTCGCATGGCTCTTCAGTTGTCGTTGTCGTCGTTGTTGTTGTCGTTGTGGTCGTTGTTGTTGTCGTTGTTGTTGTTGTTGTTGTTGTTGTTGTTGTTGTTGTTGTCGTGGTTGTTGTCGTGGTTGTTGTCGTTGTCGTGGTTGTTGTCGTACAAGGTGTTGATGTTGTTGTCGTGGTTGTTGTCGTTGTCGTGGTTGTTGTCGTGGTTGTTGTCGTTGTCGTTGTCGTTGTCGTTGTCGTTGTCGTTGTCGTACAAGGTGTTGTTGTTGTTGTAGTGGTTGTTGTTGTCGTGGTTGTTGTCGTGGTTGTTGTGGTGGTTGTTGTCGTGGTTGTTGTCGTGGTTGTTGTCGTTGTCGTGGTTGTTGTCGTTGTCGTACAAGGTGTTGTTGTTGTTGTAGTGGTTGTTGTGGTTGTTGTTGTTGTAGTAGTTGTTGTTGTCGAAGTGGTGGTTGTTGTAGTTGTTGTTGTCGTTGTTGATGTCGTTGTTGTTGATGTCGTCGTTGTTGTACAAGGCGTCGACGTTGTTGTTGTACTTTGAGTTGTAGTTGTGGATGTTGTCGACTTTTCTGCCTTAGGTGTTGTTACTTTCGGTGTTGTAGTCTTATCGGTTACTGGACCAGCAGTTGATACCTGAGGTGTTGTTGCTTTCGGTGTTGTTCTTTTTATAGTTGTTGTCTTTGTGGATTTCTCCGCTGGTGTTGTCGTCCGTCTAGTTGTCTCACAAGGTGTAGTTGTTTCACTTGGTGATTCTGCGCTTGGGGTAGTTGTTTTCGTGCAGGGTGGGGGAGCTGTAGGGGCTGTCTTAGTGCACGGTGGCTTCGGAGTTGTTTCGCAAGGAGCTTTACCACCTGGGGCCGCCAGATGATCGTCGTGAGCATCTCCAGTGACTATCGAACCACTGCGATCGCCATTGTGGCACTCGACAAGGCGCGGTAGGTTGCAGATCTGAGTCCTGGGGTCAAAGTACAGGCCATGTCCGCACTCTCTTCTCAGTGCACGGCCGCGTAGGCAAACATAGAAGCTGGAGCAGCTAATGGGATCCGCGAACGAGAGTCCATTAATATGATCCGTACAGTCAGGAATGTGTGCCTCGCCGCTTGCAGCCAGAGAAGCCAGGGCAGTCACAAAAGTGAGCAGCAGCAAGTTGTCTATAAAACGCAATGCCGTATGTACAATAAATACTCAAAACGTCACGTCCACTCAAGAACTTACAAACTCTCATTGTTAGAAATATTCCTGCTCTTTGCTTTTACCGTTTGGAGTAATCACTTCTCCACTGTCGTTTGACTGGAGCTGCTGCAGCGCTTATATAGCGACCAACGATGCACTTATCACCAACCACAGCTACGTCAAGCATTGCTCAACCACTTGACGGCAACACATCCCTTACACGAACATTACGGAAACACCTTGTCAGAAACGAGATACACATTACCCTAATTGGCGGTTCGACATTAAAATATTAGCAAATAATAATAATAATATTAGTTGAGTACGTTATGAAATATGTCTCTTCATAGTTTGATATATATCAGTTATTAAGCTCGGAAAAAGTTTCAGTCTTTAGAAGAGGAAAATGAATAAGATAACGGAGCAACAGTGCATGTAGTAACAACAATAGTCTTTATTATATCCACAAAGAAAATATATAGTAGATAAAACCCGATATTTGGAATTGCTTAAGAGATAACATTTTTTATTTGCTGAGAAAAGATTGGCGAAAAAATTTGTGTGCTGTAGGAGGAAGATTTGTCAAACATTTGTGTTTTGCATTTGCCAGCCACCCAAAACACTTGTGGTCCGACAAATGAATGAATATTTAACAAACTTGTGCACAATTCATGAGCACTATATGAATATTTCAGTTGACACGTCGACTTCCCACACACATGCACGAGTCCTAGTTGTCCTGGTAACACCATCTGTGGCTGTACCCACAGCATGCTGCTGTCTCTACTTGCATTTCAAACATTGTTGACATCATGTGTGGAAAATGCTGCTGTGCCAGCCACTGAAGGCAGCCTCAATTGAGATATCAATAAATGCAGTTATTTCTAACTGAAATTCAACAGAAATATTTAGCTATACAATCAGCTTAGATTGTGCTACCAAATAGCCAGTTCCATTAGTCTATTCATATATAAAGAGACTGTTCAACTATCTATGATTTTCACACTTAGAAAATACTCAGCAATTTTCAACATTTAAATTTTCATTTAGGGAAAATGTATTTATTTACTTGTCATCACTTACAATAATCTCTTATTACTTATAGCAAATATTTGATTTGCCTATTTATAATTTTTTTTATTTTAATTTCTTTATTTATTTTAATTTTTTAATTCAAGCTGCAAAAAAAAAAAAACTCAAACCAACGAAAAAATCTTTGGAACTGAGCAGAAGTTGCGCTTGAAATTCTTGCAAGTCGTTTATACTAACTAATGTTTATTAACGGTATTTTCGTTTATCTGCTTGTTTTGTTTTAAATATTCTGTTGTAGTATTTTTGTATTTTCTCTGTTTTGTGGAATATTTATTGTTGAAGGAACGCTGTAGTTTACGTATCCAATACACACACACATTCATATTTACAATTGAAGTTGAATTTGTATAGATATTTGTTCTTTAGAATCATTGTTTACACACATTCAAAATTCTACTCTTTATATATGTCTGTTTTTTTTGTTTTTTTCGGTAAACATAAAGTAAAATATTTACAATTTAGGCGGAGCCAATTTGAAATGGATCTACGCAAATTCTGATTTTTCCTTCGGAGATTATGAATTATGAGTTTATTTATCTTGAATACTATTTCTTTTCATAAATATCTGGACTTTTAGCAGACATAGAGAGTTTAACTATTAGGATTATCAATACATTTAAATATGAACCTTCCATTTTATTGTACACTTATAATTATTAATTTTATGTTTGTAAGTTTTGGCTTCCAGTTGGGCGTTTTTATACCCTGAACCCATTTTCAATGGGAAATCAGGGTATAATGGTTTTGTTGAAATGTATGTAACAGGGAGAAGGAGGCGTGGCAGACCCCACAAAGTATATATATTCTTGATCAGGGTGACGAGCTGAGTTGATTTGGCCCTGTCCGTCTGTCTGTCCGTCTGTCCGTCTGTCCGTCTGTCCGTCTGTCCGTATGTATGAACGCGTCGATTTCAGAAGATATAAGAGCTAGAGACTTCAAATTTTTTTTTAAATGTCCGTAATTACAGCGCGCATATCAAGTTTATCATTAAAAATCGATAACTCATCTCGATCTTTTTTTATCGATAAAAAACCTTATCGAAACCCAGTTATAAAATTATATCTTCTACACCTTTATTGCTAGAGTCTCCAAATTTTTAATGTATGCTTATATGCAATTTATACAATTTCGGTTTTTGTTAAAATTTACCCCCCCCACCTCTAAATTCACCCCCTCACCCTCACTTTTGTAAAAAGCGTATTTCAAATACTAGAGACTTGTGCTTTGGCAATTGCATGCATATTCATGTTATAATCATAATCTAAAAGTTTCATGAAGATCGTACGTCCATAAAAAAAGTTATTAAACAATTAAGTTCTCATAGTAAGCGCACACTGCAGCCCATGCGTGTTTATGCGTGGGTGCTTGTGTGTGTATGTGTGTGTGTATGTGTGTGTGTGTATGAGTTTGTGTCTGTATGCGTGTGTGTGTGTATGTGTGTCTGTATGAGTGTGTGTATGTATACCTGTGTGTGCGTACGTGCGTGTGTGTGTGTGTGTGTGCGTGTTTCTTGTGTAAGCTGAAAGTCGCGAAAAAGTATTGAAATATCTATTGCTCCAAGGGTTCAGGGGATCTCGTAGTCGAGCAGTCTCGACTAGAGCTTTCTTACTTGTTTTTTTTATTCTTAGCTTCTCAATAAGTGGTCTGCTTTTGCAGATGATTTTTATTTCCGAATTGCCTTACCTTTAGTGTTATAATGTAAATACAACCATAACTCAAACAGCATCTTAAAGATTTCGAACTAAAGATTCCTTTCATGCGTATTTACATAACTCTCTGGAGTTTTCAAAATCCTTGATTTGATTACCCAAAGGAGAAGAGATTGAAATATTTCTATAAACTCAGAATTTTAATGAAAACAAATTTTCCTGGCAAGTTTTAAAATATGCAAACACTCATACACATATCAAGAATCCACAAGCAAGTACTAGAAATATGTTTTTGATTTTAATTATTTGGATTTTTGTCTGCAACAGATGAGAGCGTGAATGCATTTGTAATGCATCTATTTGACAAAGTCGTGGCTAGAAAGGTATCTCTCATTGTTGGTACTTAAAGTTCTATGCGTAGTGTAAACTGAATCTCAGCATCGTTATTTCGTCCTGCTGGTATTCCTGTTGCCGCTGTCGCTGCTCTCAGTGCTCAAGTTTTGTCCTCGGCCACTTTCGTGCCACTAATTGAGCTGCTGACGTGGCCACAGCTGCCACCGCAGGCGCCGTCATCGAATCCCTGCCTGCGGGTTGTCGTCTGCATCTGGGAGCAGAGCCTGCGGCTGACACTTGCGCCAGACGTTGTCCTGTTTTTTGTGCTGGCTGGCTCCTGAAGCGCTGCTGCCGCTGTGCGCTTGTTGACTTTGTTTCGGCCTCGATGGCTGGTGGACACAAATTTAATAATCCACAACAGTGTCAAAATTGTTGAAATATTCCGCCACGGCGAATAGCCAGGACAACCAATTAGCGCATTCCAGCTGACGCTGCCCGATTTAATAGCCGATGCGGAGTATTCACCTGGATGGTTACAGAAAAACAAAAACAAAAATATCAAATGTTGGCTTCTGCTTAGGACTGGACTTCCAACTACGCATATTACAAACAAGTTCAGCTATAATTTTGCATAAAATGAGTGTGTTTATATACTGATACACGCGTATGGATATGTGTGTGTGTGTGTGTGTGTCTGTGTTACTAGTCGATTGAATAAATATAGGCATATTGTAATTACATATTTCTATGGTGAAATTGAACAGCAAACACTAAAGCCGAGAAGAGCAAATAAAAGGGCGCATAAATTAAGAGACATTTGAGCATCGTTTTATGGGCGGGCCAGGCTCAGCCCAAGGCAGAGGCGTGAAATATGCACAAAACAAATATTGGAATTTAATATCAACAACAACAATGCCAAAATGAACTGGTTCAGCAAACAGAGTGCACTAGAGTAGAAGCTGACTAAATTAAATTCTGGAAACAGCAGAAGTTAAAAGTCACAACGCATCAAGAATATTATTTTCAAAAATTTAATAACGTAGGTAGCTTCTAATGTTAATTTCAATTTACTAAAAATAATGAAATGTTGGCAAATTGAACATTTTATGTTAGTAAGGTCAATCAATATCAAATGCTCAAAAGCAATAAAATGAAAACTTTTAAATAAACTAAAGTAATATAGCTCCAGCAATTTTAATGGCTCTCATATATATTTCAATTATATATGTTTTAATTAAATTAATTACGCATACTTAAAGCTCAACAGAGAGTAAAGGAATATTTTAATTTAAATAATATAAATTAATACCTGTAATTTTATTCAGCTCAAATATTTATTTTCATTTGGCATATTTATCAACAAATGCATTATTTAAACAAGTGTCAAAGGCCAGCGTCATATATATATTCAATTATCATAAATATTGCACTACGTATAAAAAACATCGCGATTCTGAAATGTTTCCAAACCAACAAAAATTAAAATATATTTGCACAGCAAACTGAGTTTGGCATTGAATTTTAGATTCAAATTAATTGCGAGAATAAATAATTTATAATTAATTCAAAATAATTAAATATAGCTAAGTATTTGACCCAGTTTGGCATGTATGTAATAAAGAGCTTCATGACTTCATAGAGCCCATTCGTAATGAAGTAGTAATTCAACTCCCCTATGAACTCATTTACTCAACTTATCAACTCGTATTACCTCTTCTTGCTCGGCTGAATTTCTGCCATATCACATACCATTTCGGCTTATGTTATATATGTTATGTATGTATATACATTATGTATTTTATAAATATATATACATTAATATTATTACATTATAAAATAATATAAATTATGTCATGAAATAAAATAGCGGATGCTTGCGTGTGTGTGTGTGTGTGTGTGTGCCTGAGTAAGAGCAGAGCACATATAAATGATAATATCATTGAGCTATTAATAATAATTTGTCACGATTGTAATTGTTGTTTTTATGTTCTCGGCTCTGCAACGGCCACAGAATTATATTAAGTTTATTAACCCTGCAGCGCA